CCCCCCCGCGCGGCGACGGTTTCCCTCCTGACCGGCACATGGGTCCGCAGCCTGTCCGGGACTGGGGCTCGGGCAGCGGGGAACAGCCCCGGCTGCGGGAGAGGGACCCCCGCCACCCCCCACAGCTGCAGCCGGAGGCGGACTACAGCTCCCAGGAGTCCCCGCGGCCGAGGCCCCCTCGGCCGCCCTGCGCCGCCTGTCTCCGCGCGAGCAGGCATTAGCGCGGGCAGCCCGCGGGGGGGACCTCGGGCGGTGCGGGAGGTGGTGGCCGCCATGGACGACGAGGAGGAGACGTACCGGCTGTGGAAGATCCGTAAGACCATCATGCAGGTGCGGGCGGGCGGGAATGAGACCCGGCGAGGGCCGGAGACCCGGCGGGGGGTGTTGTCGGGGCAGCGGAGGCTGCGCGGTGGCCTGGCGGTGCCACGGCGGCCCGGCCCCGGCCCCGGCCCACTCCCCCCCGTCCTCCGTCCCCGGGGCGGTGAGGGCTGGTCCGCCTGACCGCAGGGCGTTCTCGGTAGCTCTGCCACGACCGGGGCTACCTGGTGACCCAGGACGAGCTGGACCAGACGCTGGAGGAGTTCAAGGGGCAGTTCGGTGACAAACCCAGCGAGGGCCGGCCCCGGCGCACCGACCTGACGGTGCTGGTGGCTCACAACGACGATCCCACCGACCAGATGTTCGTCTTCTTCCCGGGTGAGAAGAGTCTCCTCCGGCTCCCGGGGCTGCACGGGAAGGGACGGCTTCGGTTGCTGGGGCGGGGTGTTGTCAGCGGAATGAGGGAGGGCTGCGTGTAACCCTGGGGCTGGCTTCTTTCCCAGAGGAGCCCAAGGTTGGAATAAAGACGATCAAGATGTACTGCCAGAGGATGCAGGAGGAGAACATCACCAGAGCGCTGATCGTGGTACAGCAAGGCATGACCCCTTCGGCAAAGCAGGTACGAAGTACGGTGAAAGAAAGCTGTCTCCGAGGCAGAGGGTTGTTGTGGGCCACGGGTGTTTTGCCTCTCTGTTTTTCAGTGCTTCTTTAGGCAAATAAAAGCCTAGAATTTCATTCCAGATGAAGTCTTCCACTAAAGCCTGTTGCACCTTAATACAGGCTGTTGCTTAACGTGCAAGTGTATTTAACCAGAACAGCTGTTTCTGGTTCCAGAAGAACAGCTGGAGGTCCGTGAGTAGCCAGGAGGTGGGTGAGCGAACAGGGGATGTTTGCCAGCAGTCAGGACATCTGTGCGCTCTTTGCCCACTTAGCTGTGTCTGTGTGAGCGCACGTGTAGTGATCCCACGCTTGCAGTGACTGGTGTCTGAGCACAGGCAGGGCTGTCCCAGAGCAGCACTGCTGTCTGACAGACCTTTCCCTTTCCAGTCCCTGGTAGATATGGCTCCCAAATACATCCTGGAGCAGTTTCTGCAGCAAGAGCTTCTGATCAACATCACAGAGCACGAGGTGAGCAGTGTCGGGCAGTGGAGCGAAGGCGGTATGATCAGTCTTTTGTGCTGAGCTGTGGCTTGAGCTGCTCCCAGAGACTTTCTTTCGGTTGGAAGGCCGGGCTGAGTGAGGCAGACATACTTTTCTTCCTGACACATGTGTTGCTTCTCCTACCACAGTGAGGAGCCAGTCACTTTCTCTGGCTTTCTAATCTTACAGTCTCTCTCCCCTGTTCTTTACAGTTGGTCCCGGAGCACGTTGTCATGACAAAGGAAGAAGTAACTGAGCTACTGGCCAGATAGTATCCTTTGTTTGTTCTCCCCTTCCTGCCTGGGTGTGATGCAGGCTTGCTTTGGGCTGAAAATGAATACATCTGCGTGCGATGGTTTATTACTTTGTTCCGTGAGCTGTGCTAACGAACGGGCACCTGGGCCAGTGGTGTGTTCTGCCAGGGGAGCTTCTCCTTGACTTCCTGCACAGTAAGCTGAGAGAGAACCAGCTCCCGAGGATACAGGCCGGGGATCCTGTGGCCCGGTATTTCGGAATAAAGCGTGGTCAGGTAAGAGAGAAATAGACTCAGGTGACAATTTCCTGTGGGCAGGGCAAGGAGGGGAGTTGCTCTACAGCACTTCAGAACTCTTGGAGGCAGGGAAGGTATCTCTTTCGAACGTAAAAGCTGTTGTAGGTTGGGTACGGATGTGTGTGAGCTGAGCAGGCTTCTAGCAGGGACACCGCAGTCTTGGCTGCCTGCTGAATTGGCTGGTGACAGCCAGGAGATATGACCCAGCCCCACGCTCCGTGATCTCCCCCTCCCCTTGCAGCAGGGGGTGGCACTTCCATGCTATGGCCCCAGCTGAAGCAGGGAGCTCAGCGCCGGCCGTCTCTGTGGCTGCTGAGTGCCGCAGCTTTACAGCCACTCTGTCTGGGTCTGAGTGTGCGCCTGTGTTGGGCAGGGAAGCCCTGCAGGGGAAGCTCACCACCAGCTTCTCTCCCTCATGAGCTCCTTCTGTCGCCCTTCTAGGTGGTGAAGATCATAAGACCGAGTGAGACCGCGGGCCGCTACATCACCTACAGACTGGTGCAGTAATCTGGAGCTGTCGGGTAAGGCAGAGCATGAAACCATGAAAGTCCCTGGCTAGCGGAGGGCTTTGGGCAGTGCTGGGGCTGTCTGGGATTGACTTGAAGTGAGCTGCCTCCAGGAAAAGATTATCTCAAAACTTTAAATTGTTTGTGGAGGGAACTGTCAGTGAGAGGACAGACCAGAGCAAGGCTTGCCTGGTCTTGTGCGTCAGTATCCACCGCTCGGGATGTGCCTGTCAGTGTTCAGGGCAGTGGGGCTTGGCCTCAAGAGCAGTCTGCTGAGGGAGGCATGAGGTGATTCACATCCCGAGTTCTCTTTCTTCCAGGCATGGAAGAGTTGTGTGACACCTCCCGATCTTCCCATCCACCGGCAATTTACAGACACTCTGAGATGTCTGCCTTTTCATAGACGGCCAAGAAAATGCTCTTTCTGTGTTGCCTCTATGCAATTTGTGTTACTCGGCCTAATTCCTTGTTTTCCAGCACGGATTTGCTGTAACTCCTTAGTCTTCATTCAGGACTCAAGCCTGGAAGTCACCTGAAGCAACAGAAGCGTGCAGGGCAGAAGCAAGTGGGAAAAGGCCTTTGCTTTCCTATTTAATTTTATAGGATCTTATTTTTAATAAAGACTTGTACTCTGGCTGTTCCTTGCTGGCCTTGTATTTCGCAGCCTCGCCCTGTAGCAAAGCCTTGTAGACTTAGTGAGTTCCTGTATTTTTCATTCTGTTTAGAATGTCTTGCTGCTGAAGCTCTGATGGACTCTCCATCATGGCTGAGCCGAGAGCTCACCCTGCAGAACTTGGATCCAGCTGTCGTGTGCAGTTTTGATGCTGCAGTTCAGACTTAGCTCATTGCTTACCTTACCTGTTCTACCCTCTGGCCCTTGTTTTGAAACCATGGTTTTCAGGTATTGCAATGGAGAGTTGCTTATCACCCCCCATCACTTTCATTTTAATCTGTTCCAGGTCTCTTGAGGGTTTTTAAACTTCAGTTTACTTGCTAGAAATATGTGGAGTACTTCCTTACAGTGCTTAGCTTCCTGCAGCCATGGGCACAGGAGGCTGGAAGACTGATCTCCAGGACAAACACAGGTTGGAACACACTGATTTTATTTTTTATTTTTTTTTTTGAAGCATGTCAATCTGAATACAGCAAAACATGTAACGCAGCTTCTTACAGCAGTACAGGCATGTCATAACAAACACGCTTTACTTTTTGCACGCTGAATTACTATACAAATAGAAGGGTGCCTGTTCCCATGTGAAGCTCAAGCGTAGCTTTTGTCCCTTCCCTCACTTGCACTCACCCGTCATCCATCCTTGCAAACACACGTGGTACCGCCTGTGGTAGCAGTGCTGGTAGCAAGAGAGGGCAGTCGGCCTTGTTTCTCTTGCTACCATGGAAATGACCTGCTGGAAAAATCCAACCGCCTTGTTGAAGAGCTGCAGACCAGAATGTCTCACAGGTATCTCTAGCTCTTCTTTGGCTCAGTTATGAACCATTTAGCTGTAAATTAACTTTGGTTTTGTGTACCTTTGACCTGCTATGCTGAGATGCATTTCCGATTAGTCTCGGAGAGCTCTGGGAGCTATAAAGCCCAGGCTCTCCCCTGTGCTGGAGACTGATCCTCAAAGGGGTCAAACGTCTGGTTGATTGCCCATTTCTACAGTAACGAGGTGCATATAACCCCCCAAATGCCGTTCAGTGTATCTTCAGCTGGAACATCGCTCCGGCTTCACTCGCTTGGCTTCCTTGGCCGGAGATCCGCCTCTGCCTCTCCCCTTGCTGTCCCGTTGAGGTGGATGCTCTTCAGACCTGGAGTGGCGAGGCCTGACGCGTGAGCAGGCAGAGCGAGAGAGATGATCTGGTGTCCAGCATCTCACGGAGGAAGGGTCTGGCTAATTGTTAGAAAACACCTTTGGATCTGTGCAATTTCTTAGGAACCATGGACTGCGACTTGCTTGTGTGTGAGGTGCCTGCACAAGTCCTTGTGCATCTGTCCCTGGCCGGGAGCTCTGGGTCTTTGCTCGTCATGTGGCCTCCCGTGTCGAGGGTCTAGTGGCACGCTCAGCGGTGACGGCAGGAACGCAGCCCAAGTACAAGCAGGGTAATAGAAAAAAACAGCTTTCATCTCTTTCTAAGCTAAAAATCTACTTGTTTCTCTATGCTTCAGTGCAGAAAAGTCTCGCAGCTTTAAAAAAAATAGACTTTGGCTGGTCTTGTTTAACCCTTTAAGTTCCTTTGCCAGCAGAGGTAGTGGTTTCATGTTGAAGGGTTATCTCTTTAGAAAAAAAAAATTTAAAAAGCCTCTTACACTGGCAGGGGCTGTGACTCGATTCAGGCCGTGGCAGTCCTGAGGAGGAGGCTTCTCCTCTTGGTGACCTGCTCTCTGCTCAGCTCCATCTCGGGGCCAGCTGGAAGAGCAGAGGTGTAGTCCTGGACTTGCAGCTTAGATTTTTGGAGACCAAATGTCTATCAAAAAAAACCCTGAGAGATTAGGCAATGCTCAGGACTGTGCAGCCAGGAAAACCTGTCCCCTGAGCTTGCTCACAGCTTCCGGATTGCTCTTTGCGTGGCTCCTGCCAAGTAGAAAAATGCCCATAAATACAAGCAGCAATGCAAACCTTGTCAGCTGAGCCAGGAAAGGCATGTCGCTGGTTGAGTCCTGTGTTGCTTAGAAGTGCTGAGGCAGTAAATTTATTGCTGGACTTTGGATGCCTGGTACAGTCAGTTATACATGATAAATGTACCTTGCAGGGCCTGGCAAGCGATGCAGGCACAGCCCTAAAGCCGAGGCCAGCTCCGCGTGAGATGGTCTGAGTTGCTTTTACCCAGCTACACCGAACCCAGCGCTCCTCTGGCTGTGCCCCCCTTCCTGGCGAGCTGTTCCCCAGGCCAGCAGAGCCAGGCCATGCACGCAGTGCTCGGCATTGTCCGTCTGTCCATGCAGTGCCCGTGCCTGGCTGCCGTGCCCTTCTCCTGCCCACTGTTGGGGAATTCTCCCCACATCACCTCCCGGCAGCCTCACCTCGCCTTCCAGCTGCAGCCAGCAAGGATGATCAGATCCTTTGACTCCCCCATCTTGATTTCTGCAGTAGAGGCGTGGGATTAAGGAGCAAGGCAAAAAATTAAACTTGTGACCTGGACATGGCAAAACCCTGGATTCCTTCCTAGTCCCTAACAACAAGCAAAGGGGCTGCCCTGCCTCAGCTCCTTCCCAAGAAACGTGCTTCGTGGGCTGCTGGACCGAGTGGGGGCTCCCAGCAGTTGAGGCAGGCTGACCCGATGTTGCCCATCGGGAGCCAAGGGTCTCGGGGGTTTTGTGTGAAAGCTCCAGCCATGAAACAGCCAGGACTTGCCTGCAGCTGACACACCAAACCCCTCCTTAGCTGCCCGCAGCTCTGTGCTGTCCCTCCCCACCCCTCAACATCACAGCTTTCTGCATCGCTACGCCTGGGTAGCGTCTGGATTTTGTCCCTTTGCCCCGTCCCAGCGTCCGCGGTATTTTTGTTCAGTGGCTTAGATAAACTGGGGCTGCTGCTCGCTGCCTGGCTCGCAGCCGCCTTGGCACCTGGCTGCCAGATGCCAGGCAGTGGCAGGCATGGCTGTGTTGTTGGACTGGTTTGTATTGTAGTCCGTGTCAGCAGTGGGGAAGCGGCGCTCGGGGTAGTCTTCTGCATCGCTTTGCTCTTCTCCTGGGGGGCTGCAGCAGCGGGGAGCGGTGCCCTCCGCATCCGACTGGCCCATGCTGCAGCTCCGGCTCCGCTGTCCCTCACTCCCATCATCGCAGAACTGAGCTTCGTCTGTGCTGGTCTCGCTCCCCTGTTTCATTAGCTGGGTTCGTAGGCCCCCGTCCGTGGTGGCCAGCAGCTCCCCACCATCCTCCAGCTCAGAGTCGGAGTCAACAGAGCGGTCGCCAGACTCTGTGGGACAGAGGGAGCCCTGTGCTACGCTCTTGCCCGGCACAATGGCATCTGCAGGAGCTTTGTTCACCAAACTCATGGTGTTCAGGTACAGGGGAAGGGCTTTGCGTTATTGCTGCTAGTGACATACCTCAGACCTCCCGAGAGACCTGTGCCTGCTGGGGAAGAGCCACCGGGTGCCTTTCACTTACCTGCGAATGAGTCGGCGCTGTAATCCAAATTGCCCTTCTCTGAAGGCAGCTCTAGGTAGGGGATGCTGCCAGGCTGGGAGCCTGTGTGGGACTGGAAGGAAGAGATGCAGTGGTGAGGGCATGGAGGAGAAGAAAACTTTCTCATTCACTGAGAAATGGTTCCAGAAAGTGGAGAACTACCAACTTGTTGTCTGGGTGTAAAGGTGTGTAGGCTCCACCCTCCCACCCCCTGCCTGTCTCACCTACTGAGACTGTTCTTTTGGGGCAGAAAATCACTCGCAAGTGGAGTGGGGAGGCACATGGGGACATGACGAAGCAAGGCAAGTTTTGTAAGAGAAGGGCAACAGTGTTGGCCGGACCTGTACCACCATGTGGCACAGCAGGGATGGGGAATGTCACTGCTGCGATCTGCAGGGCAGAGCACGAAGCTGGGGCACCATTCAGGAGAGGGCTGGGAGGTGTCAGGGCTGCAGGAGGGTCTGCCCCAGCTGATCTGCGCCAGGTTGCAAGCACAAACAGGCTGTCCTGGTTGGCTCCGCGTCCCCTAAGGGTGCTCCCTTCCCCAGAGACTCTTACCAGGTCAGAGGAGCTGGCTCCCTCCTCCTTGCTGTCTGTGGCGTACTTGCTGGAGTCGGCCAGCACCGTGGTCTCCTTGTTCTCAAAGATGGTCGAATAGAAGATGATGAGTGCCTCAATGATGCGAGCTTGGTGGGGATAGTCAACCAGCGAGGACAAGGAAATAGTGGCGTCCGTGGGCCTTGGGCGCATCAGTGTTGGCCCAAAGACGATGCCCAGGTTGCTTGAGGTCATCTTGTTGTCCTGTTCCACTTCCACAATCCTGGGGAGGAGGAGGAGGAACTCGTGAGAGCAAGCAAGGAGAAGGGACGGGTGGACCAGCAGGACTCGCCCAGCCTGGCACATCCAGGCTGGAGGAGATGCTGGGCTGGCAGCACGGGAGTCCCCTCTCGTGGCACACATGGGCTTCATGAGCGGCAGAGAAGTAGCTGCAGCCACGGATCGACCTCCGTGCTCCTGGGAAGGACTGCGCTGTCCCCACGGCCAGCATGGGTCCGGTGGGGAGGCTGCACTTACCTTCCCACCCTAGGGAAGAAGGGGAAGGTGCCCCAGCACCCACATGGGCTCTGGACCTGCCCTTCTCACCTTCTCAGGTGCTGCAGGAGGTACTGGAGCGTGGCCATGTTCTCCCAGGGAAGCTCCTTCAGCAGCTCCTTCAGCTTCAGCACCAGGTTCACCACCACCTTGTCTGTGGCGGCTCCTCTGTCCACCAGCTCAGGGCCCCCCTTCCCGCTCTTGCCCTTGGCCTCGCCACCCTGTAAGCTCTCCTTGGCCAAGCCCATCAGCTCGTTGTACATGCGGAAGGGCATGATGGGCTCCGGCAGCTGCAAGCAAGAACAGGGGAGATGGGTGCTGGAGAGCCGAGCCTCCCAGCCCGGGGTGGGGAGAGCCTCAACCCCCTGCCCGAGACCTAAACCTGCCCAGTGTTGTCGAGCTGAGGAAACCTGGGGCCTTTCTACAGCAAGGAAACATCCCCGGTGCTTGCAAAACATGCTAGCCAGAAGGTAATGTTTATTTATCCATCTCCTGAAGCGTGTAAATCCAGCCTCATTTGTCCTAGCCAATTAGTACCTGGGAAGTTCAAGCAAAAAGCAGCCTTTGATCAACCCGTGGGTGCTCTCTGCCAGATAGGTCCCTCCGGTCAAGGTTAAGGGATTCTCTTTCTCCCCTAGAAAAGCCCTGGCCCTGGGTGGGCACAGCAGCAGGTTCCCCAGCAGACAAAGGTGGTTAGAAAGAGGAGAGCAGTGAAAGAGGACAGGAATGGATTGTTCTGGGGTGGAGAACGCAGGATGTAATCGGCATAGCCTGCAGCAAAGGTGGGGTTGTGGTTAGGTGGAAACTCTTGCTTTGAAGTTTGTATAAAGCAGCCAGAGCAGCATGTTAACTAATTGGTGGTTTTGCATGGCTGGTAATGTTTTCAGAGTGGCTTAAACAGATGTTTTTGGGGACAGGCTGCCTCTCACAGCAGAGCAGGTTCCCCTCCCATCCAGCACTTTGCAGAGGGACTTTAAACCCATTTCTCCACAGTGAGAGGTTGGATCCTGGCTCAGGACTGATTTCTTCCCCTCTTTCCACTCTGCTTTTCTCTGGAGAAACCCCGGAGGCAATTCAGAGCCCTTCTCTCCTCTCTGTGCAGGGAACCCAGGGACAAAGCTCCCTCCTTGAACTGAGCCCTGAGCCCGGTTCCCAAGTTAACACACAGGAGCCCTTCTGCGGAGTTACACCAGCCCTCAGAGAAAAGGCAGCAGTTAGGAGTTAAACGGCAAGGCTGCAGTGTGAAGGAGAAGCTGCTTCCTCTCCTCCTGCCTTGTGGTGACTCTTTGGAGGATGTGGGTGATGCTGTTTGCACTGCCAGTTTGGGTACTGGTGTCTGCTGGGGGCAGAGGGTGGCTGAGGCAGAGCTGCCGTGGGTGGCAGGGCACAGCACCCAGCTGAGCCCACCGCAGGGCGAGACGAGGGGCACAGCACCTGGCTGAGCCCACCGCAGGGCAGAGCCCTGCTCGGGGAGACGCGAGCTCAGCCCCAGCTCTGCCCTGCGGAGCGACCTTTGCTGGATCACTTCCCTTTTTGTGTACCTGGTTCCCCAATTGCAAAGGGGAGGGAGGATTTGGTGCTTCTGCACGTTGTTTTTCTGCGGCTATGAACGCCGCTGCTGCAGCGGTGGAGGAGCCATGCGAAGTGACGGCGAGGGCTCGCCGAGAGCAGGAAACCCCCCGTCGGCTCGGAGGAGGCGCAGCGTGCGCGCTCGTCCCCACTCACGCACATCGTCCCATCTCCACCGCTGATCCCCTCCTAGTTGGGAGGGACCCCTCTCACCGCCCACAGCCATACAGTTATTAAGCCCAGTCTGTGCAGAATTACTCCTGCCAGAGATGACTCGGTGAAGGCGGGTTTAGTTTTGGGAAGTTAGTTCCTCTGGTCGCCTCTCCCCTGCCTCCCCCCCCAGGAGAAGGTATCACCAGCACCTTACCTGTCTCAGGTAGAGCTTCAAGACATTGCTGATGTCATGAGGGGACGCCTGGGACAGCTCCACCAGCTCTTTCCCATTCTCAAATGCCTGGCAAAGCTTCTCCACACGGGTCTTGACACCATTAACTCGGTAGATGCCCTGTAAAAGAGAGAAAAGTGGAGTTGAAGTGAGGAGAAATGTTTCTCTTCAAGTTTGCATGAGACAGTGACCTTCCAGCTCCCACCCTCTCCTTTTGGGGGTTGGAAATCCCTCTCAGAAGTCATTCTGGGACATCCCCTTCCAGCTCTGACGTTACTGCTGTTCCTGTTTCATAGGAAAGAGGGAGGCAAGAGAAGTGTTTCCAAGGTCAGAGTTTGGGGTATCAGGGCCAAGTTTATCACCTGGGACTTTCTGGCCTCCTGCCTCCTAGTAATCTGAAAAACAAGACTGATGATCTTCTGCCTTTGCATGAAAACCATTTCAAGAGAAGCTAGCTCAAGCTGAGCTAGCTTAGCTGAAGGAGAGGGAAGAGAGAGTGCATCACCTTGGTTTTCAGTGCCCGCTTCTCGATCTCAGAAATGCACTTCTTGATGATGAAGGGGATGCCATCTGAGCTACTCTGAGAAGCTTTTGTGAAGTCTTGCCCGAAAAGCTGCAGCTTTCCTTGGAGCTTCTTGTGCCCGCACTGTATGGCCAAGGTTTCCAGACACTTCTTGTGGCAGGCCAGGTAGCACTGGAAAACACAGGGAAATGCGTGGGGGTGGGAGAGAGCTCTGTGGGTCAGGTGGAAGGGTGGCCGCTGAGAGACACCGGGCATCGCTCAGAGAAACGAGGAGCTCGTTGAGCACGATGGCGGACAGGAAAAGTGCCTTTCTTGGAGACACTGCAGGACCAATGCAAAGGTCCCCAAAGGAGGAACATCTTCCTAAACACAGGTTAGAGCTGGGCTAAGGTAGTCCTGCCCTAAAGTTCATGCGGGAACCTCTGCTTCCACAGAGAACTTAGAGCTCCTGGCTGTGGTTACACCCAGGGTTTTGACCACGTGTGTCAGAGCTCCTGGCTGGGTCTCTACAGCAAACCTGTGACACCCAAGCGACAAGCTGCGCCGCAATATGCCGCTGGAGAATGTGCGGCTCTCATTTGGGGACAGAGTGAATCAGAGGACTGTACGCAGGTACTGGTGGGGTCACCCCGTTCATGGGACACATCCTCCATCCGTTCCACCCACCGGGCTCTCTTCCCACTTCCAACTTTACCTCCTCGCATTCTGCTCCCTGGAAGTAAACGTAGCTGTTGCACTCCCGACACTTGGAAGGGGTACGGAGCTTCCTCAGCCGATGAGTCTGGGCAGCCTTGGATAAGCCAACGTTTCGGAAGGGCCCTGTCGGAGCTGTCATCTCTGGGGTGATCCCATTGATGCCTGTGAGCAGAACAAAAAGAAATGTGTCTGCATCCTGGCTCCTGAGGAGGTAAGGTTAAGCAAAGCTCAAGCGGAAGGGTGACTGTCACAGATCAGACAACCAGCTGGAAGCACTAGTTCTTCAGCAACATTACAACCTGTACTCTGAGGCGTGCGGCCCTAGCTCATCTGTTCCCACTGGTTTGACCAGAGCTCATCCCTGGTAAAGACAATGCTATTGGGCTCCTCGTGAGGTCACCATCAGGTATCCTCCCAGCAATCATTCGGTTTACCTCTAGAACTACTGAATTTGGGAACAGTCAACCTGCAGTTAGCTTTGTCATGGTGTGTGGGTGCACAGCAGGAGCACTGCGTCACCTCCCACGCTGTCACGTACTCTGCTCAAAGGGGGTAGCGTTCTCATCCTTCTCCTCCAGCTCTTCGCTGGAGGATATGGTGCCGTTGGAAGACAGCCGCTGGAGTTTATGGCTGAATTCGCCTGTCAAAAGAAAACCCACAAGCAGTGAGATTACTGGCAAAATTGTTTCTCTTCTGAGTGCACTCTGATGCATGTGGACTCCCACAGCAAGCCGTCGCGTGCCTTGGGCAGCCGGGGCAGCTCTCTCCAGAGAAAACGAGGAACTGGGAGCTAGCAGGGGCTGTGCGTGCCCCCGCAGTGCCCTGCAGGGGAGCAGGCTGCAGCCAGTGCAGTGTAAAGGTTCAGTGGTCTCCCAGCCCAGCCCAGCCCAGCCCAGCCCATCCCAGCCTGCTGGAGATGGGCATCAGAGCAGTTTTTCACAACACAGTGTTATTACAAGGCAGATAAAAAAGTGCCAGGTCCCACCTAACTCCAGTGCTGGTTTTAGGCTGACTGTATTAGAAGGGGGAGCACTGCCTGCCCTGGGCTGTTTTCGGTATCTACCTGCGTTTGAATCCAGGCTGCTGTCAGCTTCAGTAATGGAAGTTGGCCAGGATTTATGGACCTGGTGTCCTCTCCCACCTGTAGAGGAAAACAGAGTTCATTTGAGATTGCTTTCTGTGTTCAGGAGAGAAACAAGGGAGAAGAGCCTAGAGTCTGGGAGACAAATTACTGAAGAAAGCTGGTTGGTTTCCTGTTGACAGGCTGGTGAAGGGGCTGGTGGGGTTGTGACACCTTCAGTAACACTCCAGCAAGGGAAAGAAGAGATGGGATTCTGGAGAATGGTCTGTTAGGCAGCACTAGGCAGCTAAAGCAAAAAAACCCCATAGATCTGATTTTGTGTCCTTCAGGAAATTCAGCTTGCAAGGATTCCAGCCTGTCCTACTGCTGTGATCAGAAGCCCCCCCCTTGCTACCCATGGAGGTCCTGCTTTGCTTCTGACCCAGGGGGAGGAGGACGCAGCCTGGTGCAAGCGGTGCCGTGGGGACAGCGATGCAGAGGGTCCTCTCTGCTCCGGGCTCACCTCTCCGCTCAGCCGCCACAGCCCCACTTTGCTGCTCCTTGGGTCCTGTCCCTCCTTCTGAGACGGTCCCGTCCTTGGGCAGCCCGGCCCCGTCAGAGCCAGCATTCGTTGAGAAGTCATTGGCATTGAAGCTGCCTTTCCGTGTCCGAGTGAAGGGGGACCTGGTTGGCAGAAAGGAGAAAAGGGAATGTCTGAGTGGATGAGAAGGAAGGACACTTGAAAACCTTATTCATGGCTGCTATCCACCTGTCTTGGGATTTACAGTCCTCTCGTAAATACTAGACAGCCTGTCTCATCCACTGGAGGATGTGAGAGGAATTCCCAGCTGGTCCAGCCCCAGCTTTCCCAGCAGGAGCTGCCTTCAGGCACGCTGAAAGCATCCTGGTTTCTGCAGGAGAGCGTAGTGCCGGCCCAGGGGGAGGTTGCCAGTGACAGAGAAGATGAATGTAAAGCAGCAGTGATTTCCCCCTCTCCTCTCCTACCAGGCGTTGTGTGACACGTAGGGCTCAAAGTCGTACTGGATGTCGGGTTCGTCTCCTCGCTGCAGCTGCTTGACATGAGAGGCGTATTGCTGCCCGGGGTCGTAGAGCTTGCTGCTCTCGCACAGTGTCTGGAAGTTGACGGGCAGTGGAGCCGTCTGCATGTGCATGATCTGGTAGAAGGAGATTGTGGCCTAAAAATAAGGTAGAGGAAATCAGACATGAGCTTTGTGAGCTGACATACAAGGAAGAGAGAGACAAGGAGCTCCAGGCTAGATGAGAAATCAGGAGCACAGAGCAGTGCTTGGTCTGCAGCCTTGAGCCTTGGCTTTTCAGAGCACTAGGGAGTGAAAAGAGCTTTACATCCACCTGGAATTCACCTGAAATAGGAGCAGCTAAGCTAGGTCTGCTGGGGAGGCAGCTCTGAACCTCTCCTGAGCAGGGTACGGCCACCCCCCTGCCCTAGGGGCCATCCCAAGCAAGCCCCACTCACCATCTTGATGACCTGGTCGCTCTGTTTGATCACTTCGTGGATCTGCCGCAAGGAGTTCACCTTGGTATCCTCCAACTCCTGCTTCTGGGTATTTGCATCCGCAACACAGGTCCGATACGTGGCCATCGCCTCTTCTGCCTGAGAGTTGGGAGAGCAAGAGATGGAAACAGCTCATAGGTAAGGAGAACAAGGAGAACAGCTCTCTGCACTTGGACCCTGTTCCTCCAGGCATTCCTGCGCCATGTCCGAGGATCCTTGGGGAGCTCAGTTCAGTCCACTTAGCTCAGGGTTGCTCCTGTGCTAGGGCAGCAAGGAGTGAGAAGGTTCTTGCCAGCCAGATGCTCAACCCGAGTCCAGAGCTGTCATGTCCCTACCTTGTTCTTGGCTTCCTCTTCTAGCCGCCTCTTCTTGTCCAGGGTTTTGGTGGTGATGCTGCTGGTGGTGTTCTGCTGCTCCTCTTCTGCTTTCACTGCCATGTACTTGGCCTTGTCGTGCTCCTCGCTGCGCTGCATGTATATCTGCTTGGCCTTGCGCAGGTTCACCTCTGCCTCTTGCTGCCAGTGAAAACAGTGACCCAGGGTGAGGACTGACCTCTGCAAGGGGATCGTTATCTCCTGCAAGCTCCCCGGGGTCCCATGTTTCTCCGGTGTCCCCCAGCACAGCAGAGGCACCCTAGGACAAAGCACCTAACGCTACTGGAGAGGGGCAAGGAGTCCAGCATCCTCGGAGGGGTACGTGTCACAGGCGTACTCCAGACTGGGCTTAGGGAGTGGAAACCCAGCCCGTGCTGCATGGCTGTTACTCACCAGTTTCCTCTGCGCCCGGTGCCACTGCTCCTTGATCTCCTTCCTCCGTTTTTCATGTTCAAGGCGTCTCACTGTTAGTGGCTGAATCAGGAGGGAGAAACAACCCCCGTGGTGGTCTGAGCTAAACGCTCGCTGCTCTTCCCTTTGCAAAAGGCTTTGCAAGGAGAAGTTCCCTGTGGCGGTTGTTATCATTCCCCAGCACATCTGGGCTCGGTTACAGGGAGGGTTTGTGTCATGGATGAAAATCTGCAGCCTGGGAAGTGCCAGATGCAGTTTCCCTCCCAACTGAGCTAAGCAAGAGCCACCTTCTGCAATGACAGGACATCAATTCCCCCCTGGCAAACAGCCCCAGAGAGTGGTGGTCACTGGGAGATGGGTGCAGCTTGGTCTGGGCTGGAGGGGAGCATGGGAATGCAGAGAGGCCTCGGATGAGGAGGAGATCAGTAAGGAGGTGCTCTTTGATATGCCAGACTTGGGGGTTTCTCCTAGACCCTGTATCTAACCCCTCGAAGGACGTGGCATCTGGCTGAGAGTTTGGGCTCATTGATCCACTGAGGCCAGAGCAAAGCCGAGGAATGCCAAGCCTGAGCAGTGGCTCAGCCGAGCGGCAACTGGATTCCAGTTTCTGGAAGAGCTGCCTGTGGCAGAAGGACTAAGGACACCACCAGCCTCCCTTGCTACCCAGCTACCGGGGAAGACCCTTCTGAGTTGGCCTTTTATCTCTCACCTGGAGGAAGGTCTGGTGCTGCAGGGTGTTGGCAGCCTGCAGAACCGATGTCCCGTGCTCCATATCCTGCTCCAGGGCCAGCAGGTAGATGGACAGGAAAGGCATGTTGGTCTGAGAAACAAGAAAATGCACCACCCTGAGCCCCAGCACTGCGGCGTGAACCAAAGGAGACATGTTCTCCAGTGCCGTGTTTGGGGAAGAAGAGTCAGAGTCTCAGCTTGGCTGCTGGCTACCGGTAAAAGCCCCATCCTGGACTGAGACAGTGTGGTCACAGGCTGCCAAGAGACCGCTTGGAGGGAGGCTGGAGGAGGCTGGAAGGGCCCCGTGGTGTTGCCTGCCCGGTCCTGGGCTGGAGAGCAGGGGACAGGGCATGTCTGGTGTGTGAGCCTGCCCGGGCTCTCCCCGCCGGCACACCCGGCAGGACCAGGGCAGAAACATCAGCTACCGATGGAGGAGGTTTTGCAGGGTCTCAGCATTATCCTTTGCTTTGGTCTGGACACGTGAATTTTGCCAAACAAAGAGCTTTGGAGAATTGCACACTCATTCTCCTGGGCTCTGAAACTAGGTCATGCAGAACGAGCTCTCTAGGGCTGCTTTCTCCCAGTACAGCCCAACAGCCTGGATGCTGGGTGGTTTTAGGGACATGTGGACTTACCTCCTGACTGATGGTTTGCTTGCAGCTGTTTGCCATCTTCTGAAGCCCTTTGGCAAACTCCATTTCTGGAAGAAAAAGGTTGGAAGTGAAAAGACATACAAAACACCAGGATTTCCCTGGTGATTGGGTTCCTTTTGAAAAATAAATCAAGAAGTTCAGGAATGAAGTTCCCCACTGCCCTTGCAATGTCTGACTCCCTCAGCCTCGTTGATTGTAGAGGACCTCGACCTGTTCTGATGCTGCTGTGAAGGGCTCAGCCCCACTCTGGAGAGGACCCACCCGCCATCCTCCCCATCTCACCCAGCGTGGTCCTTTTCTCCAGGTATCCAATGAGGTCCTTCATGTACTTGGAGATGTTTTTGGCGTACTGGAGAGCAGCGTCTACCCCACCCTCGCAGCGCTGCAGCATCACATCCACTTCTTCAGCAGGAGGACGGCCTGTGATGGGATGAGGGGGAAGGTGGAGGAGAGAAAGGAGAGACACTGAACTGTGCTACTGGCGCTGTGTTCACTGACCCGCTCCCTCCAAATGCCTTCGAGCTCCCGGGAGTACCAGAACAGCTGGGAAAACCCCAGGACAGCCTGGCTCACCCCTGCAAACTTCATGAGCTTTCAGTGCAAACCTCCCCATACCTGTGCCGGCACCGTACTGTGCTGGTGTCCTGCCGGCCCCCGGTGCCAGCAGCAGCTCGGCTGCCTTTTCTCAGCCGAGGAGCCGTGTGTGGCTCAGGACCGCGGCAGCAATGGGGAAGACGCCAGTTCCTGCCGGCCGGTCTGTCAGCCGGGTACCCCACCACCCCAAACCCTGCGCCCAGCGAGCCGCCTGCTTACCCGTGTCATAGTTTTCCATGCCTGAAGGCATGCCATCTCCTCCAGGCCCAGGGATCCCCCCGTAGAGGCTCTCCATAGTCTTTGGGAATTGAGAAAGAAAAGGGACTGATCAGACAAGAGGAAGGGGAGTAGCTGGAGGGGCTGGTGGATGGAGGGGAGGCAGAAACCCGGAGCTGCTGGAGGCTTTCTGCTGTTGCTGGAAGTCTGCTGTGCCCAGCCCATGGCCCTGCAGGAAGGCTGGGAGCTAACGGGAATGTTGCTGGAGAAATACCTTGCTCTATGGTCACACCAGACCAGGGCAGAGCTACGGGGAGCAACCAGAGCCTTGTTTTCTGCCTCTGTTGATAGAGCTGCTCTATCCCTTCCTGAGCCACTTTGCCCTTTGGATCGAGCTGCCAGGTGGCTTTTCCCCTCTCTGGGATGGTGGTGAGGACAGGAGTAAGCAGGCAAAGCCCACACGCAACTCTTCCGGGCTTGGAGGTGAGATGGGAATCCCACATCTCGGGCTGGGGGCTCAGCCCCTTCCTGAGCCGGGTCTGAGCACCCCAGCACATCCCAAGACCCGTGTGATGGGAGTGGGCATCACTCACCTGGTTCTGGTCGCTGGGTGGGATGGAGAGGATGGTGCTGCTGTCCACCTCCCCCATGAGGAACTCAGACACGCTGTGACAAGAGGAATAAGGCTGCGCTCAGCAAAGGGAGAACGGGCAGTGACAAGCAGGGCTGTCACCCAGCAGCACCCGACCAACGGCCGAGAGATCGGGTGAGGGCTAGGGCAGTTGGAGCTGCAGTACTGGTTTCAGTGGGGATCATCTGAGCTCCACGTGATGAGGTCTTGGTAATTCAGGTGGAGGACCAGAGCTTGGCCCAGCATTGAAGAGGGGCTGGGAGATGGAGCCTGTGGGCTCGAGCAGGCTTTGGGGTCCCTCATCAGTGCTGGAGGAATTGCTGGTGCGAGCAGCAGGAGTGAATCTGCCCTCCCCACGGGGTCTCTCCAGTCCCCAAACCACCCCCCAAACCAGCTGCCACGTGTGGGGCCATGCATGGGCGAGGTGATGGGGCAAGGGGTGGAGATGTGTCTTGGCTGGTGGGGGTGATGGGGTCCATCAGGGGACCTTCTCCGGGGGACGGCTGGCCAAAAGTCCCTTACGTGCTGCTGAAAGACACCGCAATGGTCTCCACGGCCTTCTCGAACTCCCGTTTGTCCGTCTCATTGTTGGATTCGTAATGGAAACCTGGAAATGAGGAAATGCAGAAGCCCTGTCACCACCAGCGCCTGTCCCCATCTCAGGGAGAAGGACCTGCTGGCTCCTGCCGGTCTCAGCCCTACTCTGTGGCTGGGGCTGTGTCAGGCTCAAGGAGCAGCAGGGAGGAGATCATCCCTATGGACGATGGACTTGCTCTAGTGCGGCGCAGGGTCTCTGCACCCCCCCATTTCTCCTGGGACTGACTTCCCTGCCAGCACCACTTGGCTCACATTTCTGTTTACTCCCGTTACCCAGGGCTGCCGGAAAAGTGCTGCTGACTGTGAACCTGTTCCACTGCCTCCACTGTCTTATGGCACCTCCAGAGCCCCCTGCCCCGAGGCGGGATGGCTTCCTCCAGGAGGGCTCTCACCCACGGCCGAAAGAGGAACCGCCAGTGGCAGTGGGAACCGGCACAGACGGCACTTGGCAGACACCCAGGCCAAGGGGATGCTTGTGGTGCCTTTGCCAGCAGCTGGGGCTTCTGAGCAAACCCTGACGCCTTTTGGGTCAGCTCCTCTGGGGCGCCAGGGCCGGCGAGCCGAGCCCCAACAGCCCCCCCTGCTTTGAGGGGCTGGGATCTGCTCCCATCCCTCTGCCCAGGAACGTGGGCAGCCTGAACTCGCTCCGTCCCGGTCCTGCGTGGGGCCAGCCCCGCAGCAAACCTCCTGCCACCAGCCACGAGGCTTCCTGTCCCTTCGCGGTTGCTGTTCGGTGTCCAGGAAGCAGCACGGTGACGCAAAATGTGCTCTGCCTGCGGTTAGTGCAGCCGTCCCCCTCCCCGCTGGTGTAACTGCAGGCAGGAGGTGGTGCCCCGGGCAGGATCTGGGCTCCACAGACCCCGCTCCTATAAACATGAGGTGCTGCCGGGAGCGGGATCCAATTATTTAAGTGTTTTTCCTGCGGCCGTGCTTGGAAAGCCCCAGGCAGGGATCTGGGCTCTGTCATTTCTGACGCTACATCATCCTTAAAACTAAAACACAGCAAGCAGGCAGCTGATGCCTTCGCCCTCTCCGCCTGTCCGTGGGGCAGCTCCGCTCCCGGCAGCATCCCCAAGGACTCCCCGGGCCACACGCGTCCCAGCCTGGGGCAGGAGGGGAGCGGGACCGAGCTCCCAGCCCCATCGTCTCACCCTTGACTTTGGAGATGAGGGTCCCGGCAGCCGTCAGGGTCTCCAGGGTGTTGAGCAGCGGGTACTTGTTGATGACCTGGCGTAGGATGCGCAGGGTTTCGCCCAGGCACTCGTGGGCCAGTGGCCGCTGGGGCTCCCTGGGGTCTGCAAAAGAGGGGGGGCTGCAATGCTGCCCCGTGTCGCTGCCCTCTGGAGCCTCCCACCCACCCTCTGCCAGCCAGGGTCCCGCCAGGCTCCCAGATCATGCAGCCCATCCCCTTGGGTTTGGGGCTCCCCGGGACTGGCACAGCCACGTCCCGCTTGTCCGGCACCTCCCCAGCCCTCCCCTTCCATCCCTGCCATGGCTAAACCAGCCGGTGTGTCCCCCACCCGGCGCAGCAGCGGGCCTGGGGCGGCCCGACCTTTTAGGCATTTTTTTCCTCAGTAGTAACTTTTTCCCTTGAAAGCAGTTTGGGAATTTCCTCCTCATTTCCTTCCCTTCCTCCCCACCAACGGGTGCTCCCAGCCGCCAGCAGGGATGTAGCAGGTCTGTCCGCTGCCGTGCCCCATCCAGCCGGGCTCGCCACGTCCCGCAGGGTCCTTTCCTGGGAACCGTCCCCTCCATGGGCTCCAGCTGCGAGCCCAGGGGTCCGACACGTCTCCCCACCAGCCCAGTGCTGGGGCTGGGGCTTGGGGCTGGGTGCTGGCAGCCTTGTCAGGAGGTGAGGAGTCTCCCGTAGGGAAGCACTGGGATGGGAGCCTGGCACCCACTGCCTGGTTGGGCAAACCCCCCCTCCTGGCCCCCGGCTCGGGGTTGGAAAGGGGTTTCCTCCATTTCCTCTCCCATTTCGAGGCCCCTTCCGGAGTTGGAAGTGGGGACACCAGCAGGACTGGGAACAGGACTGGGAATGGGGCTGGATGGGCGCAGAGGAGAGCCAGACTCTCCAAAATCATGGCTGCGTCCTGCAGATTGGCCCCAACCTCCTCCCATCTTTTTGCTGGCTTGGGGACGGCACCATCCTAGCTGTTCCAAACTGGGTCCAGCAATAACCGCAGACCCGGAGCAGAGAAGGCAGCAGGACAGTCACCATCCAGCTCAGGGCTGTTTCCTCCCTGCCCGGCAATGCCCAAACCTTCGCAGGGACCTTGAGGCATTGCCCCCCTCCATCTGCCAACCCATGCCCTCCCCCCGGTAGCCCAGACCCCAGCCACATTCCCACTGGCCCAGCTGTGGGTCTTGTCGCTGGGGCTGTCGGCAGCGGTGCTGCAGGCTGGGCGCTGCCGTTTTCCACGGTGAGTGGGGATGCGTCAACATGTTTGCAAAGCCAGCACCGAAAACACGGCATCATGTGACCCCCCCCCTCCCCGCAGCCCCACCTCGCCACGGGGACCACGAGATCGCCACCGTTCCCTTTGCCTCTGTGGGCAGGGACACCCACCCGTGACCCTGCAGCCCACTCAGCCCCAGGCTGGGGCATCGACCCCATCCCACCAGCCACCCTGGTGAGGCTGGTCTGGCGGGTCGGGGGGCCGTGCCCAGAGCCCCACAGGGCTCTGGGGGCCCTGGCAGGCAGCTGGCACCGCTGCACTGTAAACAGGAAAACGGGCGGATGAAAATAGCTTGCAGGCAGGAAGCCGCGTTATCCTGGCTCCGAGCTCCCAGCAGCCACCCGCCACCGTCAGCCCGCGGCTGCCGTGGCTAGGTTTGGCACAGCCCCCCCCCGGGGGTCCCGGTCCCCTCCTGGCCCTGGCAGAGACCCCCACCCGTAGGTCCGGTCTGTCCCCACGGAGGGGATGCTCCTGCGCTCATCCCGGTGCCCCACAGTGCCGATGTGGCGAATGGTTCAGTGCTGCGTGGGCAGCACCGGGGCTGGCGGGAGCTGGGGGCAATCCAGGCACTCACCGTCCCGCAGCACCACATCCCGCAGGTTCTCCAGAGCGTCGGCGAAGCGGGCCACGTCCGTCAGCAGCTGGGAGATGTCCTCCGTGTCGATGAAGGGGCCCTCCCCGCCGTCCATGGGGCTGTAGGACGTGGGGGTCTTGTGGCCCTTGGGCACGGCCCTGGGGCCTGCTGCGGTGAGGGGGAAGCCGGCGGCGCTGGCATGGCGGCTGAGGCTGGTGGGGCGCTTGAGGGTACCCACGGTGCTGGGGCTGGTGCTGAGCTTGGAGCTGGCAGGGGGCAGCTCCCCCAGGCCGGAGCCGGGCGCCTCTAGGCAATCCTTGCGGGAGAGGTCCTGGGGAGCAGGGACGAGCGTGAGGTCCCAGCAGGCACGGCCGGTGCTGCGGGGCACAGCCAGGACCCCAGCTGGGGCAGGGAGAAGGCAGCACCCCAGGACCCCCCATGCCACCAGCCTGGAGGGACAGACTGTTGCCTGAGGGGCTGGTGCCACAGCTGTGCCGTGCCTCAGTTTCCCCAGTTAGGTATCCTGGCAGAGCCTGAGGGCGATCCTGCCCAGCTGCGGCACAGGGACAAGGCGTAGCCCTTCCCGGCATTTCCAGCCCTTTGGGGATCTTGGGGTGGGGGCTGGTGGGGACACTCTCAGGACCCCGCAGGGCGAAGGCAGCGCCTCTGCCAGTGAGAAAACAGCAGTGGAGCAGCGGCTGGCAGGGTTTGGGCGCTTGCCTGGCCGGCTCCACCATCCCCACTGTCCCCACCACACCACAGACAGCCCCGGCAGCTGGCATTGCCCAAGGCTCCCGGGCTCCCGGCGGATAAACCACCCCCAGCACAGGGGTTTCGCAAGCAGCGTGGGCTCCAAAACCACAGGCCAGGAGCTGGCTCAGCCACCCTGTCTACCCGCTCGCCCCGTGGCCCCCACTGGCCCCCGCCAGCCCCTGTGGGTCGGGGTTTGTCCTGGGGGGCACACAATGACTGTGTGGGTGACACTGCCTTGTCCGCACCGGCACCCACTGTGCTGGAGCTCCCCATCCCCGGGGTGCATGGGGACCCTGGCATGGCCAAACAACAGCAGGATCCGGCCCCACACATCCCTTCCTCTTTTCAGCCTGTCCCGTCCCCAGGTTGGGCCCAGCCCCAGGGATGGGGGCAGGGACGAGGACACCTCCCAGGCCACTCTCTGGAGGCTTTGCAGATATTTTACAGATGGAGGGAGCCCCCAGTTTCTAGGGGTAAAATTGCACCGAGGGAAGGGCTGGTACTGGCACCTTCCGGGGCCGTGCACCGCGCGGGGGGGCCGCACGCCCAGCGAGGGTCCTTGCGGCACGGGGAGGGGGGGCCCACCCTCGCCCCTCCAGCAGCTCCCGTCGGCGACCTTCAGGCACCCAGGTGTGACACGAGTGTGCTGGGTCTCAGCATCCCTGGCTGGGCGCTGCCAGCTCGGCGGGGCCGGAAGCCGACTTTGGTACTGATAGGGCAGACACCGAGCCGGCCGAGAGCATGAGGTTGCCGTGGGCAAAAGCAAACCGGGACAGCTCAGCCCCACGCTGCCCCCGGGGCCGGCCAGACCACCGTGGGACTGCCCAAAGGCCCCTACCCCAGAACGGCTGGGGCCAGCCCAACCCTTGAAAACCTGCCTCCGTTCCTCCCCCCCGGGGTGCAGCAGCCCCGGAGACCCCGGTCCCTCCCCGCCAGCATCCGGGGGGCGCACCCGGCCGTACCGTCAGCCACACGGTGGGCGAGTGGGGCAGCGAGTCCAGGGAGCGTTTGGGGGAGTCGGCTTTACCCGTCCTGCGGCGCCCCGCCGTGTAGGGGCTGTAGCTGTTCCTCCCAGCCGCCCGGCCGAGCATCCCTCCGTCCGCCACCCATAGGCCCCTCTCCCGAGGGTAGGGGGGAGGTGTCGGGGAGGAGGGGGGGGATGGGGATGGGGACGGGTGCCCCTTCTTGCTAAGGAGCCACGGGTGGGCTCTCGGGCCCCATCTCAGGCCCCGTCTCGCCAGTCCCGTCTTGCCCCACGCTCTGCCAGCGCAGGCGCGGGGAGGGCAGTGCCGGGGTGCGCAGAGGAGCCCCGGCTGCCGGCCAGCCCCGCGGAGGCGAGGCGCTTCCTCCCGCACCTCTCCAGCGCTGGGGGGGTGCCCACAAGTAAATAAATATATGGCAGAGCCGAGGGACAGGGGCTGCCCAAGCCCAGGCGTCCCCCTGCTCCCACCGCTGTCCCCTGGGAGGTTTGGGGGTTTCTCTGCCCTCCCCAAATCCTTGGCTGCAGCCCCCACTGCCGGGATCCCCTTCCCTTTGCCGCAGACCCCCCGTTTCCTCCTTGGCCCCGCTTGCCCCCCCGCCCCCCCAGGCGGCTGCTCCGTTGCCTTCATCTGGGGCAGAATCCCCCCCCCCAGGCACAGTCAGCAGTGTCCTTCCTCAGCTCCCTCCTCCTCCTCCTCACAGACCCCCTGGCCGTACCCAGGTCCCCCTTCCCACCCTGTGGCTCTTCCCGGCAGCTCCGTGGGTGCTGTGGCCCAAGTGGTCCCCGTGGCCCCACGGCTCCCACCCTGCCGGGGGGGACGTGGGACACTCACCGGCAGGGTCTGTGGGATGGGGCTTCCTGCCCGGCTCTTCTTGGAGATGGAGGGGGTTTTCATCAACTCCCGCTTCTTCCGGGAGAACATGGTTCCTGGGGGCAGCCGAGCCCCTGCCCTCAGCGACCTCTCGCTCGGCGTGGCCGCTGTGCCTGACTGCCAGCTCCTCACCGCGCCGGCCACATTCGCCGGGGCGAACTGTCAGGAGGGCGCGTGTGACGCCGCCTTATTTCCTCATCGGCTTCGCAGGCGAACCTGAAACAGGAAAAGCCAAATGCGCACCCAGGGCGCGAGGCCGGGGGGGAAGGGGGACCCCAGCTGCCCCTCGGGGGCCGCGGGGGGCTCGGGCCTGTCTCCAGCCTTGCAAGAGGTGGCTGAGAAGACGCCGGTGCTCTCGAGGGTGGTGGGCTCTCAGGGGCGATTTGTAGGGGGGGTGGTTCAGTGCTGCACCCCAGGAGGGGTCCGGGGGGGCAGAGAGCCCCACGCTGCGGGACCGGGGCTGACCCCCACAGCACCCCAGGCCTCTGTGGGGTTTACCTCTGTCTGGGGGTGTCCCTCAGTCCAGGGAGGATGAGCCCCGTCCCGCGGGGCATTGCTGGAGGCCCTGGGTGAGTGGGGTGCCAGGCTCTGGGCTCCCACCCGCGGGATGCTCCTGGCTATGCCTCCTCCGTGGGCTCGGTGGCGGTGCCGGGACAGCCCGACCCCAGCTGCCCCCCCCGGGGTCACTGCCCTGTCCCCACCAGCCTGCAGCCTCTGTGCACCCACGGTCCCCCCCGCCCGTGACTCACCCACCCGCGGGGTAACGCAGCCCCGCAATGGTCTGTTCACCGACGGGAGCACCCAGCGTGGTGGCAGATAAACCCCGGGAGGGGCCGGGCCGGGTCCCCCCTCCCAGGGTGCCGCTCCCGCAGCGTGGGGACCCCCCGGCCGGCTCCTGCCCCGGCTGCTGGGGGCGGC